TTGAGTTCGACTTGCTGTTTGTTTTATTTCCAGACGCGCTTTAATGTCGTTTATATTTATACAATTTAGGCCCCCGTCATCCGAGCAAGGGCCAAGTGCAAGTGCCGCTCTGTGGGTTCACCAACATCATCTTTTGTGCTCACTCCTCTTGGCCCCAACGAACGGGTCGATAGAATTTTACAGCATGCTTTCCCTTTACGACAAGGACACAACAACCGCCAACAATAACTCCTTGGCCGTCCTTTGTGTTTGCGCATTCGACGCAGTTCATCAATTTATTTAGCATTTTTATGCCATTTCTCAACTCGAAATTGTTTAAAACGAGCTATATTGATTTAATTAACGTCTCTCAAATGGCCCTAAAGCGAATCAGAGCTGCAGTCCCAAACACACTCGCCCACTTTAGCTACATGCATATTCAATTCGACTCGGCTCCAGTCGTCGTGGACTCTAACAGCATTTTCGTGTAAGCTGTTTCTAAACCAATTTCTGTTCGAATTCTAAAAAAAAAACTTGTAACGAAAACGATTTTAAATCAAATACAAAACTATTTTAAGCACATTCTATTAAGATTGTTGAGCTTAAGAAATTAAATAAAAAATATATATATATATTTTTTAATATTTTCGTTTTCCTTTAACGTGTTTGTATTAAGTAAGCATGTTACAATATTTTACGAAAATCAAATATAAAACTAATTTGAATAAAATTTTTTAAAGTTCTTAACTTAAGAAAATTAAATAAGATATTTTTATATTTCTTAAAAATATTTTCTTTTTCCTTTAATTATCATCAGCCCATGAAATGTCTTTGTATTAAGTGAACCTTTTACAATACTTACCTGGTTAAAATATTTGGCCAAAATACTTTCATAATTGTGTCTTCCTTTCCGGCCCAGCCTCGTAAAAAGAGCAGACTGCAACTTAATTGAAAACAATAACCGTCAGTCGAGTAAGTTTGTAAATAAAATTTATCTTGATTCCGCTTCGCTGCTGGCTGGAACACATTTATAATAATAAACATGATGGGAGCAAGAACCTATTTCAATTATTTGAGACTTCAGCAAATGCCTAGAACAGCAGCTATACAAACTGTCAAAAACACATTCACTTGCCACCTACGGCCGGCCTAAATTGCGAAGATAAATGGCAAAAACATAATTAAATCAAGACCCAGCGTTGCCGCTGCCACTAGATAAGGGTGAGTTGTCCGGGCAACAAGGTTTCAAATATCAGATTTCAGATTTCAGGGACTGTTGCAGATTAGTTTAAAGTAAATGTTAAAGGCGACATGGACGGCGATAATTCGTCGTTCCTGCAGACAAGCGAACGCATTCGATTCAAATTTGTAATTAAAAACATTAAACACGTCTGTTTTAGCCATTCTCAGATGAGCTTCATACAATACATAGCCCAGGCAATAGAACAAAACAAGCGAAAACCCCAAATCCCCTCGCTAATATAGCCCCTACTCCAATATTCGCCAGGGCCCAAGGGACTAGAGAATTACGGCCGCGCATTTGGCTAAAGCCAACACCAACAAAGTCATCAGAACAATGATTGCTCTGGCCTTATATATTGGCAAACAAATTCGCTGAACAGCTGAAAAACCCGTCCAATGGCATAGCTGGAATCCAGGGACAAACACGCGTTTCGGTTCATTAACCAACCCAACAAAAGGAAAAGAGGGAAAGAAATGGCAAAATAGGAGTAGAGAGAATCGAGAGTGGAGAGTGGAGCGTGGAGAGTAGAGAAAGCGAGAAACTGTAAAGAACTAGCAGTAAAGGGAAACAAAATTACCGGCAAGCAAATAAAATGTTTTCGAGGGTTCGACGCTGCTTCAAATTCCGCTCGGGTGATAAGTTGCTCACTCCCATCCCCGCTGGATGCCGCCCCTCTCAACTGCCCCACATAAGCTGAAGATCTGTGCAGTTGGCGATTTGATAGCCCCCTCTCCCTGCGCTATGCAACGTTTCTTTTTTATTAGTTCTGCGCTTATCCGCCATTTTGACAGTCGTTATTTGGCTGATTACAGCAAGGACAATGCCCAGGCACTCCTTCAGGGGCGTACGTCCGTATGTGTGTGTGTGAGTAACAACTATTACACTATGCAACGAATTTGAGAACCGCGCACAGCAAAACCCTCTGACTGCTGAATACCCTCGCAGTTGGCAAGCCTTAGCAGTGCGTAAATGTGTTAGGCAAACAGTCGCTGATTTCATGGCCAAATGAGGCTGGGGGCCTTAATTTACTTGGTTGACTGGTCGACGGCCAGTGCTATTTTGGTCGAGTCTGTTTCAACTTTTGCCGGCTTTTGTAGATGATTAGTGCGTGGTGTTGGGTAGTTTTTGGTCTGCTGCCCGATCCCCGGTTTATTTTCTCATTAGTTAGTTGATGCACGTTGCGCGATTTGTCCCCACAATGTTAGCGATACGACCCCATTTTCGTTGGAGCACGCACTCAGCTTACACTTTATGTAGCTCAGCATAATAGGGAATTCCGGCAGATGTTTTCCGCTGGCGCTTGCCTCTTGGATGTTGGCTGCTGGCAGCTGGCGGCCGGCTGCTGGCTGCTGACTGTTGCCTATTGTTTTAGATGCGTTGTTTGCATTTCGCGCTTTGCTGACTGCATTCATCTTGGACCCCAGCTGACTGACTGACTGACTGACTGACTGGCTGGCTGACGGACTGAGTGTCTGCTTGAGCGACAGCTGCACAATGCAATCCACGAGTGGCTGGCGTAGCACTTGCAATTGCAACTCTATTGCTTGCCCCGCCAACCACCAACCACACAGATTGTTAACTGCAAACTGTAAAGTTTATGTCTGTAGTTTGGCCTTCGCCTCTCGTTGCACTCTGCACCATTGTGCGTGTGTATTCTTCTTCTTCTCCTCACAGACGCACAGAGAGTGTTACATTTCGTGCTGCAAGCCACAAAAAGTTCGTTAACAAACAAATCGCTTTAGCTGAAATTTAAATAATTCTAGCCCCGTTTCCATTCACTGTTTCAGTATTTTTGCTTTGTTTTAATTCGAATACACATGAGTACAGATACATATATACGTAGTCGTAAATACATATGGAATACAAATATGCTTTTGCTGCTTAGTTGTAATGGTTGGATCTGTCGATTGTTTTATTTGTGCCAATCTATCATAGACGTAGCTAGTTACTGGGTTGGATCTAGGTAATTACTCACTTATGTAATGTTCAATAAATTCTTACTGCTGCGCATTCATCAGATGTCTTCCCGCTCTCTCTCTATCTGTGTTTCTCTCTCACTCTATCCGTCTCTATCTCTGTCTGCTTCTCTGCGAGGCAGCGCTTAATGGCTAAATACATTTAAATACACATATACATATACACAGTTAGAGACCTAGTTAGGCTTAAATTTAGACTTAACTTTAGTTAAGGAACGTACACACATACACCCGCCCACACATACAAATATTCTCATAGACATGTATCAATTACTCTGCGAGTTATGAGCTTATGATCTACACATATTGAATATTAATAATTGCCATTTGCTTTCATATTGGTAAACATTTAGTAATATTTGTTTCATTCTCTGATTTCTTTTTGTTTTCTAAACAATGAGCACGGTTTTTCTAGACTCTCGTTCATTATTTTTCTTATGTGAGTTTCCATTAGTCTGCTATGGTGCATTAGTATGCAGTTTCCATTACAATTATTATTATTATTATAAGTTTTTGCAGCTTTTCAGTTGAGTTGCGAGCCCAACGAATATCTATATATATATATGTGTGTATGTATGCATGTATATGTTTGCTATATTAAGTATGTTTAATCTGCTTATGATCCACTTTTTATTCAACTATTGGTGTTGTATCCAGTGATTACTTAGTTTGCTTCTGCAACCAGTTTAGAAAATGTTACGCTGTTTGATAACGGCAAACAGAAAAGTCGAATGCAACAAAAACACTATAGCTAGCTTAGACTGTAAGTACAGTGGGTACTGCACAGACAGTTAACTTAATCAATTCTATATGCTGTCGAGCAGCTAACTTATGCAACTTGACTTATTTAATCTGTGACCTTGCGTCGTTTAATACATATATAAATATTTAGTTGAGTTTTGTTTTGCTTGGATTTGCTTTGCTTCGCTTGGTTTGGTTTGGTTTGGTTGTGTGCAATTAACATTTACATCAATTATAAGCTACTCCTTGCCAGCTCCGATGCCGGTTTGAAAACTTCAGCTGCATTTTCTTTGTCAACTTTGACCGCAGGGTAAATAGAGCTTGGCTTTATGAAACTCCTCTTTGACGCAAAGGCTTATTAAACTTTGCTGCCTAATCGCTTGTGCTTTTTCCTGTCTGTCAAAAGGTATTTCTTAATTAAATGCAGTTTTCGCGTTGCTACACTGCAATGGAGCCATCATAATCGAAAGCTGCTCTTAACATTTATGTATAGCTGGCCTGGCTGAAGTAACCCGATTATCAGCTCCGCTATTTTGACATTTAATTCAAGTTAAACACATATATTTATTTACTATTTGATTGGTTATATTATGCTGAGGGTAAGGTAGGTTTAAATTCTTTTGCACCCGTAATATAGTAGAGTTTGAAGAAGGAGACGAGCAAAAATGTGTTCAATTTACTAATGTTGTTTTAAGTGAAGGTCTTGCACTCATTATATGAGTATTAGCTGGAAGCAACAAATAATAGGGAAGAGAGAGAGGGAGAAAGAGATAGTGTGTGTCAGGTACGAGGACAGGTTGAGAAGGTAGCTTTCAGGTAACTGAATTTGAAGATGAGCTGAAATTTACAAGATGCACAACGCAAAGAACTTAGGACATTGTTTATATAATCTATTCATGGAAGAGCTAAGATATGACGGTAAACGTTTAACTACTTATGCAATAAACTAAAAACACGTATTCGCCCTATAAGAGACACCGAGATCGTCAAGTTATTAGCTCAATAGACATGTATAACTATGCGGATCTTATCACTAATATGGTTAAGTGCTCTAGTCGAGCTTACTTTATCGAAGTGCTCGAGGAACTCGAGCCCATGCCCGCCTGGTATTCCAGCTGCGGCGTCGTCTGCACCAGAGCCATTCCCACGCTCTCGCTGTCGCTATCGTCCTCGCTCTCCGGTACTTCGTCCGCATCATCCACATCCTCCAGAGTTGTGATCTGACTCTGAACGCTCTGGCGCAGCTCCAACGCCGCGTGCTTTGCCTCAGTCGGCGACTGCGCAGCCTCCATTAGCGATGGCGCCGAGCTGGCCGCCATGCCAGTTGCGCCCGTTGGTGAGCTGAGCGATGGGTTGGAGTCGCGCAAGCGCTTGATGCCCATCATGGGCAACGGCAGGGGCATAAAGGAGACATGATGACCCGAGCCCGACGAGTGTGATGTGCCCATTACGCTGGGCGTCAAAGCGAAGCTGGTGTGCTTCGTAGCTGGTGCAACTGTTGGGGTGTTGGCCGCGGATGCGGATGCGGATTTTATACCGCCGTCACCCAAAGTGGCATCCAGCAGCAGCGACGTCGGCCCCGAAGCTAGCGTCAGCGTGGACATCGATGTGGGTCTGCAGCTGCCAGTGCCCAGATGCAACGAGCTGGCCGAAGCAGCCGCCGCCGGTGGCGCTGTAATTGTGACAATCTTTTTGGCTGCGCTGTTCACCGCCGACGTCGAGTTGTAGTCGCCCCGCAACTGCATGCCCGAGCTGCGGCGCCGGGAGCGATGGTGGTGCCGGTGAAAGCTCTGGCAGCGCGTGCATGAGCGCTGTGAAGATGAGGGCGTGGCTGCCGTCGATGAATGGTATTGATGAGAGTTGCGGGCGCCGGCGCCGCAGTTGCTGCTGCCGCTACAAGTGCTGCAGCTGCTGGGCTGACGTCACATGAGGTTGCGGTCCAGCTGGTTGACAGAGTGGTAGCCAAAGGATGTTGAGGCGGCCACCATAGCAGCAGCAACATGACACTGTGCGAGCAAAGCACACGTGAGCAAAGAGAAAGGAAAAGGTAGAAAACGTGATATCAGTCTCGTGTAGTCAAATTTCAATTTGGGCATTTTACATACAATTTTCAGGCAGTGTTTCGTGTTTGTGGTGTGTGTGTCTGTCTGTTTATGTAGGCATGGCAAAAACAATTTGCCTTTAAGCATCGCAACAGCGGCAACAAAGATGTTCAACAACAACAATGACAGCAGTTCGAAAATGTTGCGGGTTTGCTTTCAGTTTTTATGTGCACTTCGGTGCTTTTTTCGTGTGCAGTAAAAGTCAAAGCGAAATGCATGATTGAAAAACAACAACAACAACAACAATAACAACAATGTGAACAATAGCAGCAAAATAAAACAAAGGATATAGCAATGCAACATAATAAAAGAAAAGCGTTTTATTTATTTTTTTGTTTTTTTTTTTGTTTGGCAACAGCCACAGCCACAGCCACAGCCGGAGCAGCTGTAGCCATAGCTGTGTTCGTAGCATCCAGTTGGGGGCTGCTTCCATACAACACAAAGAAAAAACACAATTTCCGAATATTAGCTGCAACATCAACATTTTAGCCCATATGCCGAGCCACGGACGAGAACCCAATTTCAATTTCATAAGCAAACTGCTCTTGTGGTTGCTTGTGGTGCACGTGTTCGTGTGGTGTGATTCCCACCGTGCTGAAGTCCTAACTGTGTGGCTTTTGTGTATTCTGTAGGCGTTGTACACAATTTCTTCTTTTTTGATAATAGATTGAACTTTCAATGCAATTACAAGCAATTGTGACCCTTTCTAATCTTCCATTTGTTCTAAGCTACTTTGATTACGTATACGCAGCGTGTTGCTCGAGCTCCTATGTGAAATATCCGGGCTAAGCATTTGCAGCACACACAGCATCAATTAGTCAACGTATAAAAGTGGGGCTACCTCAAAATGTTTTATTTTCGATTTCCAAACGAAATGGCCTCAAAGCACCCACAAAGTCCACAATAAATCATCATTTTATTTAACGATCATTATTACTGTGAGCAGACATTATGACCATGCAGTTCCACCTGCAAAGAGGCCATGCGGTTACACACCAAATTGTGTGGTTTTTTGTGTATTCCTTGTGAGTTGCAGACAGCAGTTTGTGCTCGCTTCGAGCTGGCTGCAATCACAAGCAATTGTGGCACTTTCTAATATCCGTTTTTACGTAAGCCACTTTGATTGCGCATACGCCCTGTATTACCGGCCCTAGGGCATTGCTTCAAATGGGTTTCTATGTGAACTACTTGCTAATTTAAAGCCAACTCAATGGAATAAAATACATATGCATATATAGAAATATATATATACATGTATATATATACATATATATTCTTATATTATTTTCCATTTAAACTTTTGGGCTTCTTAGAACACAAAATCCATAATAAGTAATCATCGTATTGATTGAAAGAATGGGCACAATGGCCAGACACTTTTGTAGGCAAATAAGCCATGTGGTTTATTGGACGTACGTGTGGTGCATTGTGTGTGTGCCAGCAAATTGAGTGGCTTTGGTATAGCTTTTGTGTATTTCTTGGAAATTTCGTGTTGCACTTTGTTAATTTTTCAGGCTGAAATTGATTTTCGATGCAATTAAATTGTGGCACTTTCTCATCTCCGGCTTATTGTGAACGACTTCGATTACGCATACGCAACGCGTTGCTTGGCCTTAGACAGTGTCACGCCTCAAAAGGCTGCTACAATAAAACTCAACTTTTGGCAATTTGATGTAAACGAGCAGAGCAAATATTAACAATATTTTGATTAAAGCATCGAAAGCATTTTCCTATAAAGCAATTAAAAATATTCAAAACGCACGCGAATTTTCGCATTTTATTTCTTTTTAAGTTTATTGCCAAGAGCAGAACAATCGCGTTATCTAAAGGGCGTGCCTGACTCTCAGATATAGGCGTGCCTCGGGTTAAAGGTCATTCAACTCTTGTGGTCGTAAAAACGATTTCTTTTTCGCGTCGAAATTAGTCACAGCCACGCCCTTTTCTTGTAATTTATTACTTTGTACTCTATTCGGCAGCAGACAGGATACAGGCCAGGATCAAGCTGCCAGTTATTCGGGCAGCAAATACCAGAGAGTGCAAAAGTTTCGGACATTGCAAGCATAGAGGACTGGAAAAAATTTCGTGTCAAAAATGCTCTGACTATAGAGTTATCCTGTAAATGGAGTCCTTTCAAAATACACTTAAAAAATAAAAATAAATAATAAAAAAGGAACAACTGAGTACAACAAGTGTCTATATAGGGGCTAACTGGCTTCAGGTCTTCTTTCACTCAGTCTGAGCAAGTGTCTATGCCCGTCTGGCACGTATGTAGTACAGGGTATTAGGCAGGGAGTAGGCCAAGAGTTTTTGGCTTTGTTACCCACCGCCAAGCGGCGTGGTTGCGGCCGCTTTTGGCGACTCTGTCACATAATTATAAACGTTAATTTCACGTTCACAGTCCATTAGGGATAATTGATGTTTTTGCAACATTTGTGGTAAATTACATTTTGATGTCCTGCCACGCAAGGGGACCGCACCGAGCCGAAAACAAGAACAAAACGAACAAAATACCAAAAACAAAAAAATTCTCTGCACTAACTGGCGACAAAATGTCGCCGGGCACGAATTCGCTTTAATTTAACCGTCATTTTGTGAAGCGGTCACGAATTTATTTGATTGATTGTTTTAATAATATTTTGGCTTTGGTTATTGGCAACAAAGCGCTGTCAATAATTAATGCAATTAGCAGCGCTTAGCATAGCAGCTCGAGAGGAATGCGTGTAACAGTGAGTACATGATAATTGCCTGCCACAAGGACGACCTTGTCTCTGTTCGGCCTCTACTCGAAGGCGCCAAAGCGTAGCAGCTCCGTTGTTGGCCCCGGTCGCAGGCTGGCCAAAGAATTTTTCTGCAAACATTTAGAATTACAATTACATATTATTTGTGCAATAAACGACAATTCCAAGTTCAAAGCAATGTGTGTGGATGCGTGTGTGTGTGTGTATACCTGTGTGTAAGTGTTTATATGTGAGATATGTCTGTGTCGGTGTGCGCTGTTTGTGTGCCTACGCACAATCATGTGGCCAACCCATTATGTCCCAAAGGTAAGCCCACAATTCACAATGCAAATCCATTGCCCATTTAGGAGGCCACCTGATTCATTATGTTGGCCATTTTGCAAACACACTGAAACAATTATTTGTATTACCAACTTAACTTGAAGTATATTTGCTAAAATATATTCAGAAATATATCCTAATTGAAGTGTAAATACAATTGAACTCATATACCCTGCGGAAATCCTTTCCATATATACATATCGCTTCTTGCCTTGAAGTATGAATACTATATAAAAGAATCGACGACTTTTATAAGTAGTTAGAGCAGTTGAGGACACGTATCTGGCCATCTCGATTCAGCCTAGAAGCCATTCAATCAAGTTTTGTTTCCTTGTTTATCTTCACAAATATGAAATTCACTCAGTATTTTCTCAGAGTGTAACAAGCGCACAGCAAGCCCTAAAGCTGGACCCAATCAGACTGTGTCGGGGCGTGTCTGTGTGTAAGTGTGTGGTGTATAGGTGTGTGTGTGTGTGTGTGTGTTTGGCAACGACTCAGTGGACAAATCTAACAACAGACAGAACAGCAGTCAAACAGCAGAAAATGTCAATGAAGTTAATTTTCAGGAGACACACTCACAGCCCCACACAGCCAAGCACGCCCACACGCACTCAGCTTGCGGTTGACCGCAATGGGCTTGATGTTAGAGGACAGCGACCCAACAGTGGACCAGAGACAACGCAGGGCTTAAGCAGGAAATAACGGTATTCAGGCTACCAAACTGCACAGCGGACCCCGAATTAAGTCCTGCACAACAGGCAAACTGAATAAAATCAACACGCACACATACACACACACACACACACTAAGGCACATAAACACCCTCGCATAGGCGCCACTTAACGGAACCCATCTTCATTTATCGTCTGTCTGGCAAATGGCCAACGGAAGTTAACTCATTTACCGCTAATTTCAGCCATTACCGGAAGTTGTGCAGTGTTTTGTTCAAGTGTCCACCATCGCAGCTCGGCTTAAACAGCTCGCCACACACTTGCAATATGTTAGCCCCAACCTTCTGGCGCAACTATAAACAATGAGGGCTTAAAGCAATTGAAATGATGCACGTCAAAGCCATTAAAATGCATATTAAAAATACTTTTTATATTACTTTGTAAACCTGTGTTTGCATCCGTTTTAATTGCTATATTTGCTTGTCCAATATTTCATGTAATATTTCAAACATAATTTTTTCGGCTCACTTTTTCATTAAGAGTTTGTAACTAGAACTGTTTTGGGGCATCCACAGTTTTTTAGCATCCAATTAATTTCAACAAACGGGGCTTCAGGCACTATCGCTTGTTGAAAGCCCACAATGGCCGCTATCAAATAATCCATATGCAGCAACAAATTGATGCCTCAATGCTTTTAATTGTTCGTTTGTTCGGACTTAAACCACTTTTTATTACAGCAAATTCCTTAAATTCAGTATAATTTAAAGCAAGCACACCTGTGCTTATCGGCTGCTAATGTCTTTCAGAGTAATATTTCTTATGCTAACAGAGGTTTGAAGACATTTAAGTCTTATTTATAGCCATTGATTCTGCGAGAAGCCGCAGCAGATCAGCAGATTAAAAGGCATGTTTGTAGTTCAAATAAGCTGAAATGTTCGCTTTTTTATTAACATATTGAAACAGGCTGAATTCGATATGCTCTTATGTGCCTCCGGTAGTTTTTAAGTGCCCGGGCCCCAGAAACTCAGCTGCTACTTTCGTGACCCTTTTCAACAAAGCGCTCACAACAATACAAATACAATTGGACGAAAGTAAAGGGAATTGGTTTTGGAGGTAATTGATATCATGTTAGCCACCCGATAGCCCAAGACTAAAATGGAAACAATGAGACACATCGAGTTCGCTCCCAACGGGCATTCGTGTAGTTACTATTGAGAGCTGTAAATAACATTTTCATCATTATATTATATAAAACATTTGTGCATATGTGTGTGTGTGTGCGTCTGATGATTGTTGAAAATTGGTTTGGAAATTTAGAGTGCTAAAAGTATTTATGGTTAGCTTGATAGCATTTCCAGAATGTCGGAAGCTGTGCTGTGCGAGTTGATTTCCAAATATGGCCAGACACACTTGTCGATGCTTGCGGATGCGTGTGTGTGGGTGGTGGGTGGTGGGTGGTGGTAATGTGGACTTCGTGTGGTGTGTGGCACAAGAGCCAAGTCAAAAGGCCAACAAGTAACAGTGGCAACAATAACAACAACAAATTTCAAAGTAAACACACAAAAAACAACATGTATATACTTATACTTACAGTGAGTGAGAGAGGGGGAGAGAGACGGGCAAAATGGAAGGAAGAGAGAGAGAGAGACAAAGGTTGAAACTTAAGTTTAAATCAGAAAACAACAATATAAACTGCGGGTACAGTGGGTGTCTGTGTGTCTCTGTGTGTCCCTGTGTGTGTGTACTCCTCTTTATGTAGATTTGTGGTGAACGATTGGTAAAAGCAATATTAACAACAACAACAACAAAGACAGCAACAGCAACAGCAACAATAACTAAAACGCAGCAAATACAAGTTGTCCTTGTCTTGTTCAAGTTTATGTAACCAGAGAGATTTTTGTATAATTTATATCTTCCGTCTACTCGAACAACCAAAAGCAGTGCGAACACGGCGTATACTTAATATTGCAGTTCTTTACTTGCCGAGGTGTCTGTCGTGTCTTAGATGTTTCGGTTGCGGGGCATTAAATATAACATCAAGTGCTGAAAAAGTTCAACTTTCTTGCGCAGTAAATTGAATAACAACAACAACAGCAGCAGCCATGCCAAAGGGAATTGTACAAACAGAGGCATTAAGCCATCGGTAAGGACTGGACACAACTCGGTTGTAGTCCGCATGAAGAATGGGCGGGTGATGTGCGAATACACACCATGTGTGTATGAGTGTGAGTGTGTGTCAGATCGTGGGTTCAGGTGCAGTACATTCAACACGTGGAATCACAGTTCATTTTGTGTTTTCTTTTCTCTTTTCGCCCCGGTAAAAAATAAAACAGAAAAAATGGAAACATACAACAATGTCACAGGCGAGCGAACGAACACAACAGGCGCATCACGAGTGAAACATTTATATAGTGACAAAGAGCGTTAAAGACACAGATAGACAGAGAGAGCGAGAGCGAGAGAGAGAGAGAGGGACAGTGTGCAGCTTAGGGCAACAAGGTGCAATGTGTGTTCTCACCACGAATGTTGTTGATATGTAGGCAGCCCTTAGCATAGTTGATTGTGCATGACTTTAAAGAGGCGCCACGAGACGAACACGAAAACAACACATAGTAGTTAGACAAGTCGCTTACCTTGCCGTCGACTGGCAAACTTAACTGTTGGGGCAGCTCCTCAATCAAGGCGAGCGAGCTGCCTAATCTAAGCTAAACTATATATAAGTCTGCTCGCAGGAATTGTGTCGCACGTGCTGAATGCCGTGCAGCGAGCAAGTTGAGTAGCAGCGTCGAGTCGCAAATCTCTGTAAGAACACCACCAGAATCATAATCAGCAGCAGCATTAGCAAACTATGTAGCCACGCCCACTGGCCTTGGTAAGCTCCCTTCGATTTGTGGAGCTGCCGGAATGCTTGAGTTCCCCGATGTGAACCAAGCAATGTTTCAACTGATGCATCTGCTTTATGCACATATTGAATTTACTTTCGATTTGCTCAAGAAATTGTGAGTGAGTTATTCAAAATAAAAAAAAGCTGCAAAACTTTCCAATTGAAATCAAATTGTGCAAATATGTTTGCAATTGAATTTAAGAACATTTAGTAAAAACTGGAATCGAAAATGGAGAAAAATATTAAATGCGGAAATGTTATTTGCTCTAGTGCATGGCAGGTGTGGCAAGCAGAGACACAGCTTGTGGGAAACTCCTGCTAGTCGCTGGTCTGGAGCTGTATCAAATTTTATTGTTCGTAGTTATAATCTCTACACGAAAATAGTTTTAAGCTCTTAAAAATGTACTCCTGCTGATTGCCATCATTCAATAAAGGGAAACGGATTTGCTGAGTGCAGTGACTTCAGGATTTCGCTGATGCTGACCCAATTCAAGCACAGCTCAGAGAGACATTAAAAAATTATTCATTAAAATGGCAACAAGCTCAGAAGGGTGCGTGGGCGGCAGCAGGCGCAGTTGCCGATGACGTTGACTGATGCGCCGCGCTGTTTATTTATGCTGAATTATGAGGAAGTGGGGCAGCTCCAAAACTCTGAGTGTGCTGTCCTATCTAGCAGATATGTGTGAATGCTAATGGCAACTGCCTGGGGGAAGGTGAGGGGCGAGAACGGTTAGCGGCAGAGCAAGGTTAAAACTCGTTGCGTTTTTATCTTCCTATCATATTCATTAAATTTGCAAATTAATTTTGTCGTTCGTTGAGTTTCGTTTTTTGGAGCATACCAAAGTAGATACGAAAAGTAAGAAACGCTGTCATCACGTGCATAATTCATAAACAGTTTTTGGCGCCCATAAAACGAACACGAAATGTTGATGAAATAAGAAATATGTCTGTCAATAAGATTCCCCATGGAATTGAGGTGGAGCCTGATAGAACTGGTCGCTTTTGTGCAGTGGCGCCGGTGCATGACCAAAACAGAGTCCGCTCCAGGGACTGGACAACAACTTACCTGTGACTTGGAGCGCATTGTGGGCTGATATTTGCGGCGTATCTTGCGAGGACAGCACATGCACAGGAGTCGCACAAAAGCTCTGCAAGGAAGCCAAACAAGATTAGACTCGTGACGCGCCTTGGGGTTGCGCTGCTGGTGACGTACCTGCGAAAGTCTCTGCTCCAACAGGCATAGATTACGGGATTCATGCAGGAGTTGATCCAGCCCAGCCATGTCACAATTGCCGAAACAATCTCCTCGTGCTCAATGCACTCGATGCAGAAGCCAGACAATAGATTCACTACAAAAAACGGCAGCCAGCACACAATGAACACCCCCATCACAATGCCCAGTGTCTTGGCCGCTTTCTTCTCTTTGGCAAACTTGGCCAGCTTCCGTGAAAGCGAAAAGTTCTTGCCCATGTGTCGATGTCTCGCCAGCCCGTTGTTGTGCAGCGCAGATAGCGGCTCGTCGTCCGGCTCCTCGGGCGTGGATGTCGTTGTGCCGCCGCTGTGGTTATGATGGTGGTGCGAGTGGGAGTGCGAATGGCTGAGGGAGCCGCCACCACCGCCACCGCTTGAGACTTGATGTGTATTGGGCGCCGGATCTCGTGTGGTGCCGCCACGATGAATCCGCAGGGTCAACTGTAGTTCTCCGGATGCCATCAACACCTGCTTGGTTCCGATCTTCAGGGAGCGCGTCTGGATGACTGCCGCGCGGTAGATGCGACAGTAAGTGAAGACCATCACCAGCAGTGGCAGATAAAAGGATATGGTGGATGAGAAGACCAAATAGCCCAGATGCTCGGTAAAGGTGCACTTGTAGGCGGGCATCTCGCCGTCCCGGGCGGCCCGCCACCAAACAATGGCTGGAAAGCTGATTGCACTCGAGCAAATCCAAACAGCCGCAATCAGCCCAGCGGCGCGCTTTACAGTCATCCGCATGGGGTAGCTAAAGGGATCCGTAATAGCCCAGTAGCGATCCAACGAGATTACGCACAAGTTTAGTATCGAAGCCGTGCTGAAGAGCACGTCCAGTGAGCGCCAAATGTCGCACCAGTCAGTGCCAAAGAACCATGTGTTCTCCAGCACCTCGTATAGCGCCGAGAACGGCATCACCACCAGCCCCACCAGGCAGTCGGCCACAGCCAGGCTCGTGATGAAATAGTTGGTGGCCGTGTGTAGGTAGCGCTCTCTGATGACAGCCAGGATGACCAGTGAGTTTCCGAAAACCGTGGCAAAGGAGAAGAGAAAGAGAAAGGCCAGCAGGCCAACACGATCGTTCGGCAGCGCCTCCAGAAAGTCGGCCAGATCCGGCTCCAGGGTAGGCTCGCTGGGCACACCGCTTGTAGTATTCGCAGTCAACGGTGGCTCCGTGCTGGTTGGCGCCGCATTGAAGCCATTGAAGTAGTAGAAGACATCCTCTGAGATGTTGTAACTGTTGTAAAAGACCGGAGCACGCGTCTGATTGAGAACATCGCCACGCAATAGCGCCAGCACGGGCTCCACTACTCCATCCGCTTCCGGTGCCGCCAGCTGGCGAGGCTCAACATTGCCCACAGCCGTGGCCATGGTGTCGGCAGCAGTCTAATTCAAAAGCGCTGCTGCTGACTTAATACCCAATTCCAGTTCCTGTTCCATATCCTGCTCCATTTCCGCCCTCTGAAGTCTACGCCAGCCAGGCAAATTAATCTGTCTCATTTTTACGCCTGCAAATAGAAGACATACGTGCAACGTTACTGGAGCTCGAATACTGACAATAAATAAAGCAGATTCTTTAAAACTTTTGCTTAATAAAATATATTGCTGCCAACTTGCAGCTGATTTCCAATTTGAGTATCATTCGGCCTGCAATGGATGCTGTTTGTAATGGCAATTTAATTCAATTAAATTGTTGACTCACATCCGTCGCAGGTAATCACAGCTAACAAATTTTGTAAGCACAAAAGCTAAACAAACACATTAATTAAAGAAATTGTCGCGTCTGTTATTTTAGGACATCTTTCGTGAGATGCCTTCAAAACGCTACCGTCAGATAGAACACTGGAGTCTTTCGGCGCTTCCGTTACAGCGCCTGGTGTCACCTGCTCTGCGCAAGGAGCACAATTAATTTACATACACAGCGACCATTTGGGGCCGGGACGTACATATAAACAAATTAAATTACATTTCAAGTGCCAAAAAGGACAGGAAGTTGCGCATGAGGCGTGATGTAGCCACCCAATAGTCCCGCAGCGTTCGGCGACGGAAGTCAATAATTGCTCAGCATTTAACCAAGAGCTGCTACTCCCAGCGCGAGTTGTTTGCCCAACTCAGCTGATTGCCCTCATTTCACACTGCTGAGTAAATCGTTTAAATAAAGCCACCAGAAAGTTGTGTCAAAAGGTACGAAAGGTAGCATAGCCGACTCGACGTAAACGGAATTCGTGAAGAGCTCTTGTCAATCAAGTCGTGGCGCCTTTGTAGAAACCAAACCATATATATTCCAAATATAATCGCACTCGACAGATAAATAATCAAGTACGTAACTTATCCCATCGATTACAACTACTGAATAAAGTCGCACCTGAACCTGAATACAAATATATTAAGTGAACGAAGTAGTTAAGAAACAAGTTCGAATCCTCTTTACTTAAACTCTAAGCCTGAGCAGCAGCAGGGACACAAGTAGCGCATCACTTGCTGGCTCTAAGCAAACGGACAGAGCAACTGCTGAACTGCTGACAATATGATTGAAATTGAGTGAATATTCGGTTGACTGACGATTGGATTTGGGGTTCGATTCGCTTCGTATTCATTGAACTGCTAGCAGCGTGTGGGTTGCCTGCCCACGCCAACTGCCTCTGGGCAGTTCGAATATGTCTTGCATTTTAAACGACCTGTGGCTGAGCCGAGGCATTTGTTAGTTTTTGTTTAGCCGCCTTTGTCACATCTGTCTGGCTGTCAGCTGCTTGTGCCAGCTATTCATTGCATGTCTGCGTGTGATTATCACCTGCCAGTCTAAGGCCATGGCGATAAGGCGATGCTGGCAAGCCAAATGTAGCCACATACCTTGGCTTCATTTACCTTCCAAGCAGCCGCCCAGTCAGCCAGAGTTTTGCTCCTCATTTCCGGCGGATTCGCGTCGCCTGTATGCCATAAATTTTCCTGCCTGCTGCCTGCCTGCTTGCTTGCTGTCGTTGGCTTATCTGTCCCACCACCCCAAGTCGCTACCAGCAAGTGCTGCTAGCGTTATGCTTGCTTTCTTCTCAGCAGCCGCAACAGCAGCGCCTTGCGCTCGTATTTTGTCAGTTTTTCTGCTGTTTAGTACAATTTCCTGGCGCATTTCTCACGCAGAAGGACCAAAAAAAATGTTGCGCACATTTTTTTACTTACGATGAGCATGATGAGGCCGTTGATGTGCAGTAAGTCAAAATGTGAGCCTAGTGGATCCCTGCATGCCCAAAAGTGTTGACTCTTCAAGTAGCCCAGCCTCCGACCCAAGAAACTTACTCAAAGAACGAAGCACAAAAACACGCAACCACATGAAATACCACAGTAAAGAGAAAAGCAAAAACCAGTTGAAAGTCCGGAATAAAAGCAAATTCATATGGCGTGCGTACATGACCGACCCCTACATAACTGTCTCTGTGTGCGTGTGTCTGTGTGTGTGGACCTAACTGAGTGGATATGCCGGAGTCGTGCAGCATCGCCTGGTGGACGACTGACTGGCTGGAGGCGGGCAAGGCACAGAAATTTAATTGAAACAACCTTAAAGCTGACCTCCACTTGGCACAATGCCAAATCCGACCCTTTCACCAATGGTGCCCATGCAAATGACGTCGGCAACGGCAGCAATTTGTATATGGACCAGACCCAGACCCAGACCCATGCGCCCATTTCTGTATCTCTCTGCGGGCCTGAAAAAGGCGCCCAAACAGTTAAGTCATTGAATAGCCGAATGAAAGTTAACTGAACGCCTGCCAGCACCCAGTCTTAAGCACTGATTGCGAACCATTTTGTTCACACTTCTGTTCGGTATTACAATTTAGTTATCAAGTGCGAGTGTCCTTAGCAATTGAAGGCTATCAGAAGACGACGTTAATTGGCCTTTAATAACACGTCGTGAAAGCTACTTAGATCGAATGTTTGGTAAACTTTATTATCGTATATGGGCCAACTTTTTTCCCAGTTTACAATTTGAAAGCAAACAAGTCTCGCAACAAGGCGTCTTTTCCTAATTGACTTAAAATAAATAGAGCTTTGAAACTTGTAAAATTCTTTGAATTTATTAGGGAAGAATATGAAATAATTGACCTTGTCAAGAAGTAATGAGAAAAAGCTTATTACAAAAAGTTTTGACTTGTGGATTAAATTCTAGTAAAAAATTAAAGAGAAAAAAGCTTCAGAAAATTGATTTTCTCCGACGTAAAATGGTTTCAAGCTACTTGAAGCAAAATACCATATTTCCTTAGATCTAGAAAATGTATACGATTTCTCAGAAAAAAAGACAACAGGATGCAGCAGAATAAGTCAAACGAAATCAAATACCGTACCCGAATGCCAATTTACTTAACAATAGAAGACTTTACATATGTAGTAAATGTACTGCTTATTGATAAAGCGTTGCTTTAAATGATATACAAAGGAAATAAGTAACATTTGTTATAGAAATTTAAAAATAAATATTTGCAAATAAGCTCGGTATATTAAATGAGTCCTAAGAGCTTAGGTGGGGGGGTTTTCTTTTAATTATGGAAAACAAAGCCAATTTCCAATTGAAATCGATGGAGCAAAGTGTCATTTCGGCTGTGGGGCCAGAGCCATTGCCAGGCCTAAATTGTAAAATGTAAAAACAATCTGTAAATTCAAATGTGGCGACAAGCAACAAATGGCTTTTAGCTAGTCAGCTGCCATTACTTGTGCCTGTTCCTCGTGTTGGCCATTTGTCGAATTTTCAGTGAATTGTAATTACATGGAAGGAAAGCGATTTCACTAGCGCCTGTCGCACGAATGTGCCTTCAATTTACAACGTTTCAGTTGCTGTTTTCGTTTTCTTTTTCGTTGTTCTGTTATTTTAATGGAACTCAAAGCAGCACGCTGACAGCACGTCGACAACTATCTGTGAATGAACGCTTGCGGGGCCTGAATAAGGTAGTGAATAAGCTATTTTTATGGCCAAGTCTAGCGAGTGTCAAGGACTGGCTCCGTAGATATTATCAGGCTGTGCCATAGTGCCATAGATTTTCATGGCATGCCTCCATAAATGCTTCAAACGTCCTTTTTGGCTGTTGAATTTTCGATGCGAGTACATACATTAATTTTATGCACTATCATTGAATTGGAATCGTTAGCCGAGAGGCAAACGAAGTGCTCACGGAATATTGACATTGAACAACCTTTTCCCGTGCGAGTCTCCCATGCAAATTGCCTAGGCGTACGTTATGTGAGAGGACTGTTATCAGTGCCTATCAGCGTCACCCACTCAGTGTTGTACGATAAATCTTGGCTTAAATCTTTCAAATTGCTCCCCAAGCGTTTTTAAGTAAACACACAAATGTCAGGCGAGCGAAAGCAAGCGCTCTTCGAGCCGTGTCGAAAGCAAGCGCAATGGCAATGGCATTGGCAATGGCCAATGCGAATGGTAAAGGCGAAAGCAAAGGCAAAGGCAAAGGTAAAGGCAAAGGCAAAGGCAAAGGCAATGGCAAAGGCAATGGCAACGGCAACGGTGTTCAAATCTTACCAATCTTTATGTGAGTCGAGCACTCAAACACGGACTCGAAAGAGTCGGTAAGGCACTAAAATGTCAGTAAATATGTATTTCGAGTCGACTAGCTGAGCTCTGTCTACAAATGGAATTTAATCACGCGTGCGTCGAGCTATCCACACAATCTGATATTTGTTTTATTTTCGCCTTTGCAAGCTGTCCCTTTTCTGATTTGATAATGCGGTGGCGGCGCTGGCGTTGGTCCCTGGCGGTATCATGCTCAGCGCTGCTTAATTATGTCACAAATATTTACACCAAAAACCGAATGGCAGGACCTTTTGGGCCTTTAGTGTCATGGCACGCAAGGAATCCAGTGAAAACAAACAAATGGCAATGGCAACAACAACAGCAGCAGCAGAGCAGCCGCTAAAGAAATCAACAATACAGCTAAAATCAAATTAAATGAGGCTAACTCCAGCCCAACAAGCGGAAGCACTGAGCAACTCGCATTTTTACAGCAATCAAGGACAAATAAGGACGCAGCAGCAGCAGCGACCAGAACAACTGATGGTTTTACTAAAGTGGATTCCGCGATAATGGGAGACATTAATTTTGGCCATAAACCGATGCGATTTGTTCTGCTTCTTCCATTGCTAGAGCGTCTTTTTGGACTACCCTTCGAGGCCAAAAGACTTTAAAATGCAGCGAAAACCTAATACAGCCAAATTAGTTATCGTTTGTCCTTTGGCACTAATGCAAGCTAAGCTCATCTGTCCGTTACAGGGTGTCGGCTAGTCGAGCTGATGAATGGAAGTGATCTCATTTCTGAGATTTTTCCGGGCTTTGCACTTTTCCATTGTCCATTGTTGTTTTGCGCTTGCGTGTCATACCTTTGGCATGCTCAAAGTTATTGACAACCTTAGTCGGGTAAACACTGGGATACAGGAAAGCACAGGCTCGCGCTCATGCGGGGACACATTTAGTGCGCTTGTCACGCAATGAATAATGATTGGACAGAAAAAC